CATGTGTGATGAAAAGGATCCCATGTATGACCCAAAACTGGCCAGCGTCAAGCAAGGCACGACATCATCTCAGCCTGGAGCTGCAGGGGTCGGGGGGAAAAGGAAAGGCCGAGGGAAGCAGAAGCAGCAAGAGCCCGCTGCTTCAGAGGCTTCTCCGCCGCCTTCTGCAGAGGAGATGGGTGACTTGTTGCTATCGTTTGAGTCACTTGAGTAAACTCATGTTTGGAAGCAGCTTCAATGGCCATGTGTCCCAAAGTGTCTTTGTTCTTGTGGTTCCACGTTCGAAAAAATAACCTTGTTGAAGTGATTTTGGTAGGTCATGGATGCCGGGGATGCTTGGCATTGCTTGGCAAACTCATGGACTGGAATTAGAAATCGCCCAATTGCAGGACAAGGAGAATAAGACTGAAGATGGCTCCAGTAGTGCCAGCGGGCCGCTGCTAGAGTTCCATCGCAAGCTGCAAGAGATCAAGAAGCAGCAGGCAGAAGGCGGGCAGTGATCAGCTGCAGCAGGTGGTCGCGCATCAATGAGGCTTAGAAGATATTGCAGGGCATGTTGGCTTGGCCCTGCCAGGGTTCCAAGATTATAACTAAGCTTCGGAAACTTTTGTTTGAGGCATCCAGGCAACGCTGCCAGTGAGAAAAGAAGAATCGCGCGCTGCACGGTGTCAATTTGCATCCTTGGTCATTGCCACATTGCCACTTTGCTTGTCATGCATGCAGTGTTGGTTGTCAACCAAGCAGGCTCAGATTTGCACAGAGCGCTGGAACTCTCAACACGCAAGCGGTCCGATTGAATCAGGAGGCCGAATTTTTCAGATCATAGGCATGTTTTGCGCAGGGACTGGTAGGCAATTTGCACCACTGCAGATACTGTTGGTTTCACACACGCTTGAGACGCCTCATCAATCGCCATGCCTAAGCGGTGCAGGGAGAGTGGGGAGGCGTTGAGTGCCACCTCTTGCAAGCGATCCGCGGCAGCTTCTGGAAACTCTACTTTGAATATAGCTGGAGACTGCAGCGGTTGGTGCACTGAAGCCCAGGCAGCAGAAGCTGTTTCCCAGTTGCCCGTTCGCCATTTGTTTGCTTCAGATTCGAACCCTGCCTGCCGCAAGCTGATTGCACATGCATTCAAACCAGAGAAGATCTATGCAAACATAACTGAGCGAAAAGTGCCCCAGGAAAGGGTGGACGTTTACACATCCGGGTTCCCATGTCAGCCCTTCAGCAGGGCTGGGTTGCAGCTGGGCTGGGAGGATGCTCGAGGGGCAGTTGCCCTGCATGTGCTTTCCTTCCTGGAGGTCGCGAGGCCCAGTGCATTTATATTGGAAAATGTGCCAGCCATGGCAACGGATTTTCCAGAGGCGTTCCAGGAGTTCATCAACATCCTGGCAGGCATCGGCGAGTCCAGCTACAAGGTCGACTGGACACTACTTTCGGCTCAAGTTCATGGAGGCCTTCCCCAAAGCCGCGACCGCTTATACATTGTGGGCCTGCAGAAATCCAAATGCCTTCGAAAGTTCAGTTGGCCACGCCCGCTACCTCGCGTCTTGCCTCTTCATGCTGTGCTGGCTGATGCAGCTGGCACAGATCAGGATTTCCAGAGCCTCAACAACACTTGCCGAAGAAACGTTGAACGTATGATGGAGTGTTTGCTGAAGAAAAAAAGCTTCGGAGATGTGATTCTAGACATGGGAGGCAGCACGCCTGCTTGGCAGGACGGGCGCTGCCCATGCATCACGGCTTCGCGTGGTAGTCAGCAGGGATACTGGTCAGCTCTTCGCATGCGCAAGCTCAGCATACCTGAGCTGCTCCGGCTGCAGGGGGCGTCCCCGAAAATCCACAAGTGTTTCCAGGACAAAGTTGTGAGCGGACCAGCTTTGGGGAAAATGGCTGGAAATGCCATGACAGTGCCGGTCTATGCCGCGGTCCTGCGTGAAGTTCTGAAAGCTTTGGGCTTGCCTGTGAAGAGTTGACATCCAATTCAAGCTTGCAAAAGCCAAGTTGAGTCTCAGTACTTGTGCCAAGCTGGTGTGAAGATATCGCTTGCGCATGAGCTGCGCTGGAAGAGTGCAATGATGGTTTCCAGAATGCCAGGGACCCTGTTGTGTTTACATGTACTTGCAGTCCATGCATGCTGTTTGGTGAAATATACTTTTCAATGTTCCCCAAGCGCCCAGCAATTCGGTTTCACACGTGTTCTCTGATTCTAGCTTCAACAGCGCTCAAGGATCATGCAACAAAGTGCGCGTCGTGCCGCTGCTTGTCCAAGCTTTTTTTCAGTGCCCAGCTTGCTTTGGAGAAACTTGGGTGAAACTTAGGAGAGGGCATTTCTAAAATCCGTCTCGCTGACATCTCAGTGGCTTTGATCAACCAGGGCAGTCAAACTGAGGAGTACATTTCCTCCCAGAACTTCTGAAGATTGTTATTTCGAGCCAGGGCCTTTCCTGCCTGGGATGCAGAGATGCGGCCGTAGTTCTCCCAAACCTTGTCATCCACAATGCGGGCGAAGGTTTTGCCCACTTCTTTGTTGACTTCGTGCTGCTTCATGTCATTGATAGCACGGTGCCGGCCGCTGTGGGATCTAATCTGTGCCACCTTCAGAACTGGGCAACCCGCAGGCGCGTTGAAACTCTTGCGACTGCGTGCAATGGCCTTTGAAACAGTGTCTTTGTTTCTTTCTGCCGTCTTCGAATCTGAGCGGTCAGCAGGGAACAACAGACCATCCTGCTCCAGTGGCCATTCCCATTTGTCCCCCACATTCATTCTGCCTCTACAGCCAAACCCCCGAACACGTTGCACACTGATGCCCTCATCTTTGAAGCGGTTGAAGGTGGAAAAGGCTGCACAGCTCATTGTCTTTGTAATTGCTGCTTGCCCTTTCAGGGAAGAGATGGCAACAACCTTGTGTTCAAAATCAAAGTCTTTGGCTTTCAAACGCAGGACTTCGGTGATGCGACAGCAAAGCAAATGACTGCATGTCAGTGCCACATAAAGCCATGTTGGCCCCTTGTTCTTCACATGAGCAAGCCACGCTTGCCACGCCTGCCCTTCCAAAGGATCTGCCTGGCCAATGGCATTTTTTTAATATTATTTTGTGTTTGCTTCTTGCTCTTCTTCTTCTTCATTGTCACGCGACGCCTGTTGCTTTTGGCGCCAGCTGCGGCAGCCAGCGCGCCCTTTGCCTTGGGAGCTTGATTCTTCTGATGCGTGCTTTGACCTGCAACTTTTGGCACTAATCTCTTTCTGCTTCTGCGCCCTGCGCCAGCTGCGTCAGCCAACGCGTGCTTGTTTCCTGCATCAGCTGCAACAGCCAACGCTTGGTCTGCAGTCGCCACCCTTGAGTTGAGAGCACGTTGCGCCCTTTGCGGCGCTTCTTTTGAGCCTGTTCGCCATTGCTTAGGCATGATCTTGACAAGCTGAAAGGGACCTATGTCAGAATGTCAGAAGTCTAAGCCAAACAGCTGCAGACGATTCAAGCCAAGCTCAACCCTCCCCCTTTAAACCATCCAATCTGGAAGCACCTTGAACTTGTTGGCCAGGGCGGCCAATTGTTTTGGGGGTTTACCTGGTATGAGTTTTGTCCAGGTGTTCAAGGCTTGCAAACTAGAGCTTGCAAGGAGGACTGCCGGCAGTCCGCCTACCAGCCTGGTAGGCGGACTGGGGCGATGGAAAGGCGGACTGGGAAACCCAAAAGGAGGACTCCCAGGCACCAAAGGCGGACTGGGAAACCCAAAAGGAGGACTCCCATCCCAACCGCTTTCCCACCTACCCAACCAGTCCATCATGGCTCATGTCGGTGCATGTTTTCCCCTCATGCAACCTCATAACAGACATCACTCAACGCGGTTCGTGTGACGCCAGAAACAACAAGCGTCAGAAGTACGAGTTGTCACTGTTTTCCATGACATGGACAATGACTAAAACAACCAGCAAAAATATGGATCTCCACTGCTTCTCTTCCATTTGTGGTATGACAACATCAAGAGTACAGAATTGTCTCCACTGTTTCTTTTCCCTTTGTGGAATAGCAGGCCCGTAGCGCTTCCCTTCCTGCCTGCAGCTATTTTTGCTTGCGCAGCTTACTTAGCTTACACAGTGGCTTCTGTAGTTCCTGCCCTGCATGTCGCACAGCGGTGAAGTTACTGAGCATCACTTGACCAAGCGGCTTCGCATGATTGAAGGAACAAGGAAGACGGAGGATTACATCTACTACAAGTTGCGCAAGACGGATGACATGCCGGACACTCCAAAGCCTGAAGCAGGCAACAAGGCAAACTGGGAAAGACGCGCGTTCGCTTGGAAAAGTGCCATGAGAGAGGTTTCCTTATTACGTTGAGCTGGCTGAAGCAGCTGGCGCTGGCTAGGCGAGGGGGCATGTGCTTTGAACATATGCCCAACCCGCTGCGATCATGCAGTCATGCGTTCTTAGGTTTAGCTCTAGGTGTTTGTCGTGGAAAAAGGCGTGACCTGATGATAAATTATAATGACATGATAAATGTAAATCTTATAACTGTTATATGATATGATACAGTGTTATATGATGTTATATGAAACAAAATGATGTGATATGTTGTAATAATATGATACGATATGGTATGAAATGATGCGACATGTTTGGAGACATGTTTGGACATGGTGTGGAGTGGTGGTATGAAATGGTAGTATGATCTGATGACATATTATCATGTGACATGGTTAAGCTTTATGATAAGGCAAAGTAAGATATCGTGGTATCATTGGATAGACAACCAGAAAAAGGAGCAACCCGAGAAGCCCAGAAAGCTGATTTGTGGGAGGGTGCCTCAGCACCTCCACAAGGCAGGGCTGATTTTGATGCAAGGCTTTTCTTGATTTGTGGGAGGGGCACATGCCTCCACAAGGCAGCGGGAAAAGTCCAGCCTGGGCTGATGGTTTTTGAGGCAAGGCAGGCGAGGGCTTGGCGTGCGAAAACAGGTCTACATGGAATTGCATGTGTGGGAGGGGCAGTAGCCGTCCAGGCAGCGGCCAGGCAGGGCTGACTTTGAGGCAGCCGTCGGAGTGCAGCCAGGCGAGCGGGTTTCCTTTGCAGCGGGCGAGTTAGCCAGGCAGGGCTGCGCAGCTCCCAGCTACGGAGTTGAGGGCCCAGCAACCAATGACATGGACTTGTGGGAGGGGCAAAACGGGGATTTTGAGGCAAGGCAGCCTCCCAGGCAGCGGAGTTGAGGAAGTTTAGCCCAAGATTCTGTCTTTCAAAGCCCGGCCGTTGCAGGTGCACATGGTTCCATCTACTTTTCTTTTTGTGGGAGGCAGCCCCCAGGCAGGAAGTCCAGCCAGGCCGGCCGATTTTGAGGCGAGGCAAGCTTCGCAGGCAGCGGATCCAGCTACCTCCACAAGGCATGCGACCGGCGCAGGTCCACATGAAATTGTGCTTGTGGGAGGGGCAGTGCTTCACAAGGCCGCGCCCAGGCAGCGGCAGGCAGGCTGAATGTGAGGCAAGGCAAGTTTCCCAGGCAGCAGAGTTAGGCAAGCACAAGCTCCCAGAAAATTGTTCTTGATTTGTGGGAGGGGCAGTGCCGGTCCAGTTCATCCTTGAAAAACATTGAAAAAGCAAAGATGAATGACTCTTAGACTGGTAAAAATGTTCAACGCGTCCAATTGCTTGAGAAAGTCAGGTGCTAGCAGCAACAGCAGCGGTTTGACACCTTAATACTATGAGAGTTCAAAAATCCTTACGCGCAGGTCAAGGCAGCCACCAGAAGCCTGGTGTGCGACCGTCGCAGGTTCACATTGAATTGTGCCATAGGCAGAAGCCTGACCTACAAAAATTGTGCCATCTACTTTTCTTGATTTGTGGGAGGGGCGGTGCCTCCACAAAGCAGGCCCCAGCAAGTCGCAGGTCCACATGGAATTGTGGGAGGGGCAGTGCCTCCACAAGGCAGCCCCACAAGCCTAACATTCGACCGTCTCAGGTTCACATTGAATTGTGCCAGGGAAGTCAGCCAGGCAGGCAAGTTTCCCTGGCAGCGGAGTTGAACCAGCAAAGTTGCAGGTCCACAGGGGGTTGTGGGAGGGGCAGTGGCAGCGGAGGAAGTAAACATGGAATTGTGGGCTTGCCTTGCCTCAACATCAGCCTGCCTGGCTGGACTTTGCCCGCTGCTGGGGGCTGCCTTGTGGAGGCACCGCCGCTCCCACAAATCAAGAAAAGTAGATGGCGCAATTCCATGTGAAACCTGCGACGGTCGCATGCCCCTGCAAGTTTCCCAGTTGCAGGTCCACATGGAATTGTAGAGAGACACTACCCCTCCACAAGCCCCCCAGACCGTCGCAGGTTCACATGGAATTGTGCCATCTACTTTTCTTGATTTGTGGGAGGGGCGGTGCCTCCACAAGGCAGCCGCCAGCAAGTCGCAGGTCCACACGCAAGGCAGCCCCGCAAGCCTAGCGTGTGACCGTCTTAGGTTCACATGGAATTGCGCCATCACCCAGCAGCGGGGGAAGTCCAGCCAGGCAGGCTGATTTTGAGCGGAGTTGGCGGTTGAGCCAGCAATGCAAGTCGCAGGTCCACATGCAATTGTGGGAGCAGCGGTTTTACAAGGCAGCAGAAGCCTGGCATGCGCCTGTCACAGGTTCACATGGAATTGTGCCATCTACTTTTCTTCTTTTCTTGATTTCTGGGAGGGGGAAGTCCAGCCAGGCAGGCTGATTTTGAGGCAAGGCAAGTTTCCCAGGCAGCGGAGTTCAGCCAACAAGTCGCAGGTTCACAAATTGTGCAGGGGCAGCGCCTCCACAAGCAGCCCCCAGAAGCGAATTGTGCCAGCTATTTTGCTGCTTTTCTTGATTTGTGGGAGGGGGCGGCGGCCTGTGTTCTGGAAGCTTCAGCGGGTTGCTTTGCGGCAACCGCGGAAACAGCGGTTTAGGCTGCGCATGCGTGAGTCCGCCCTTGGGTGTAATTGGATCACCTCTGGCCTTAGGCGCAAAAGACTGGCCAACCGATCTGTAATTTATGCTCCAAATGCTTGATGGAAAGCGACTTCCCAGGCACCTCCACAAGGCAGCCCCCAGAAGCCTGGCATATGGAATTGTGCCATCTACTTTTCTTGATTTGTGGGAGGGGCGGCGCCTCCACAAGGCAGGCAGGCTGCGGAGTTGAGGAAGTCCAGTTAACTTGTCGCAGAAACGCCCTGATCTTGCAGCTCTCAAGGTCCCGAAAAAGGGGGCTCTGGCCGATGATGAAAATCATCAACGCACCCCCAGCATCTCCAGCAGCGATTGTCATGATCATGATAATCATCGCTGCTTCCAGCAGCGATGATGATAATCACACTTGGGATGTAAATAGAAACAACTTGCAAAGACGAGTCATGAGGAGGACCATGAGGATGACGCTCGTGATCGCCTTGCTGCGTCTCCAGCAGCGATGATCATGATGATGATAATCGTCACTACGCACCCCCCAGCAGCGATGATTATGTATCATGACTACGCATTGCTTGGCGTGTCAAGCCATCGCGTCTACGCATCCCCAGCATCTCCATTAGCGATGATCATGATGATAAGCATCGCTACGCATCCCCAGCATCTCCAGCAGCGATGATGATAACCATGGCTACGCATCTCCAGAGTCTCCAGCAGCGATGATCATGATGATGATAATCAAAGTATCATCGTAGCATCCCCTGCATCTCCAACGAGGTCAAGGATAAGTATCATCGTAGCATGCTCTGCATCTCCAACTGTGCCTTAGGCCACTCTTGAAATCTTGATGATAAGCACAAAGCGCATCCCTAGCATCTCTAGCAGAGAAGAGGAAAATCATCGTTACGCATCCGCAGCAACTCCAGCAGCGACGATCATGATGATGATAAGCATCCCTACGCATCCCCAGCATCTTCAGCTGCGATCATAATAATCATGGCTACGCATCGCGTGCACCAGCAGCAGTCATGATCGTGATTGCCTTGATGATAACAATCACTACGCATCCCCAGCATCTCTAGCAGGGATGATGATAATCATCACTACGCATCCCCAGCATCGATATCTAGCAAGGATGATGCGAATCATCATTACGCATCCCGAGCATCTCTGGCGGCGATGATCATGATGGTGATAATCATCACTACGCATCCCCAGCATCTCCAGCAGTGATGATGGTTATCATCACGACGCATCTCCACAATCTCCAGCAGCGATGGTTGTGATAATAGTGATAATCATCGCTACGCCTCCCCAGCATCTGCAGCAGCGATGATGAGAATCATCACTACGCATCTCCAGCAGCGATGATCATGATGAGGACAATCAAAGTATCGTCGCAGCATTCCCTGCATCTCCAACGATGCCAAGGATCTCTTGCCGATTGCCGTTGACCTACCCGGAAGCCTGTGGGCAGGTCTGGGCGCGATCACACTGGCACAGCGCGACTACGCACCGTCAGCATCTCCAGCTTCGTAGTGATCGTGATATCCATCACTACGCACCCCCAGCATCTGCAGAAGCGTTGATGATAGTTATGACTACGCATCTCCAGAATCTCCATCAGAGATGATCATCATGATGAGAATGAAAGTATCATTGCAGCATCCCCTGCATCTCCAACGATGCCGAGGATAAGTATCACCGTAGCATCCTTGGCATTTCCAACTGTGCCTAAGGCCACTGTTGAAATGTACATATAAACAAAGAAAGGGATGATGATGACCATCAGCATCACCAGCAGCATGATTGTGATTGCCTTGATGATAACCATCACTGCGCAGGGATGATGATAATCATCATGCATCCCCGGCATCTCTAGCAAGGATGATGACAAGCATCACTACGCACCCCAGCACCTCCAGCAGCGATGATCATGATGATGACAACCATCGCTACGCAGCCCCAGAATCTCCAGCAGCGCTGGTGATAATCATCGCTACACATCCACAGCATCTCCAGCAGCCATCATGAGGATGATGACCATCGCTACGCATCCCCAGCATCTCCAGCAGCGATGATAGTCATCACGACGCATCTCCAGAATCTCCAGCAGCGATGGCCATGATAATTATAATTATCGCTACGCATCCCCAGCATCTCCAACCGTGCCTAAGGCCACTTTGGAAATGTAAATAAAGAAGGATGATGATGGCTGTGAGGCTAGTCTCACACAGGTTAGACAGGCTTGCCCAGCAAGTGGTACTTCGGACCAAAACACTTTGTTGGTGAGTTTTGCTTGTGAAGCTGGACGCCGACGAACCCCGAAAATCTCAAGGCCCGCCGGACAGGATCTTAGGGCCAGCAGACATGGGTGAGGGGGCGTGGGGGGGGTGGGTCACAGAAATTTTGGGGGAAGGGCTTGGGAGATCTGAGCGCCCTTGGCCCCTTTGAGGCTGAGGCGAAGGCTGCCTGGCTAACTGACAATGTGTTAAGTAGCTGACTAGCTGATGACTAGCTTGCTAGCTTGCTAGCTTGCTTATTGTCTGACTTGTCTGACTAGCTATCATGCTAACCTTTATGTGCTTGACTGGCTAGCTACCTTAGCAGCTCAGTAGCCAGTCAACTAACTAGCCAACCAGAAGGCGTGCCAACCCAACCAGCTAGTTAGCTAACCAGCTTACCCTCGAGCTAACAAACTACTGCTAGCCAGCGAAGTAGCCGACCGAACTGGCTTGCAAGCCACCCTGCGCTTTCGAGAGCCCGAATCGCGGAAAAAACGGAACACCGAACCGGGCCAAAGCTGGCATCGAGCTGGACCAAAGACAGGTTCAAAACAGTCAGTAGTTGGTTTTGCCGGGCCCCTGCTTTGTGTCCAACCCTGGCCCCAGAAAAGGACAGTGCCACCCCCGCGAGCCCCAGAAACGGAGAAATGAGATCAAATGAAAAGGTTTCTACAAAAGGGAACTGCATCTTTGCGGAGGCAATCCTGGTTTGGGGAGCGTAGGCTCGCGCAGGCTTCTGCGCGTAGGCTGTTGTGTCACCCCTCGGGTAGGCTTCTCGTAGGCATTTTTGAGCGAAGCTGTTTGCCAAGCACGAAGCAGTTTGCTCCTTTGCATTCCTTCTGTTTGTTCTACAGTCTTTGCGTAGGCTCTGCGTAGGCCCCGGGTCTGCATTCGCGTAGGCTTTCAAAGCATTTTGGCTGCGTAGACTATTTCTAGCATCCAGATCCTTGCATAGATTTGGGGTTCTCACTTGTCCTGCAAAGGTGATCTTCTGCCAAAACTGCACTGTACTACTTCGTGTCGTACACTTAAACTGAACATTTGCCCGCGTAGGCCGCGTAGGCACCTGCAAGCTGACTCGTGCTCGCGTGGGCACCCTTTGCAGCGGCGTAGTCTCGCGGAGGCTTCCGCGTGTAGGCATGCAAGTAGTGTATTGGCTGCGTATCACCAAGAAAGCACTTCTCCAATGAACCAGAAAGTGTTGGGCCTGAGAATGCCGAGCCCGGCAAAGTTTTGGAAGGTTCCCTGAACTGAACTGAGTCAACATCGCACTGCTTCGGCGAATTATAACGGTACCTTTCCCGAATTGCCGTATACAAGGCTTCAAACACACTGCCAATTCGTCGCTGGATTGAGATTTGGGCGAGCAGCGTGAGCGCTTCTCAGGCCAAGATAGCCAGCCTCGAAGAAGAGATCAAATACCTTCGAGCTGCCAGACGCATACGGAAAAGCAGCACTCGCACATGTATCAGTTGCCTGTGTCTGTCGGTCCGTGTGTGCGTGTGTGTGTGTGTGTGTTGTGTGACTGCCGTCTTGGAAAGACTCTATCACATTTGCTGCATGAGGCCTTGCCTGAAAGCTTGAGCATCTCAACCACAGCAGCCCCTACGGTCATCGTTGCTGGCCATAGTGTCCAGGAGGAGGGTTATGAGGCACGCTGGCATCCATTGTTGGATGACTGACTCCAAATTTGCAAATCAGGAAGTGATACTGCTGGCAGTAATCATGTTCATGCTGATGCTGTGGATGGTCCCATTCCTGAGGTGGGTGTTGGCCTTTATTGTGACTCCCAAGCAAGCTTGCGGCCAGGCCATTTAGATATTGTTGTGAAACGCGCTTGCACAAGGCCGGTGAGCGGAGCAGTTGTGAAGCTTCCTTCGCCTGTCTTGCCTTGAACATCTTGAAGTTGTCGAGGTGTATCCAGCAATCACTCTCATCAATTTGCTGATATTTGCTGTGACGCTCAACCAGCCAGTTGGCGCATATGGTCACTTGGAGCAACGTCGTTATGTTTTACAACACGCTTGCAAGGCTTTGTCGAATCTCATTCAATGATGTTTTCTTTGCGATTGTCAAGCTCTTCGATGTCTTCCTGGATTCCATCGAGCAGGCGGCGGCGAGATTGTCAAATTCAGACAATGCATCCATACTGTGTCACGTGGCAACAGAGGTGCTCATTGGAATATCAGCTCTTTTTGCCATCGGGATTGTGTGGAAGCTGGCACCTTAGTTCAGTGTTCCAGCTGTCAGACTTCTACATGAATGAAAAACACTTTCCCCACAAAGTACATGTGAGTTGACTCATTGCAACATGGAGATTCCAAGTTGCCTGGCGTGACCTTGCCACAAAAGCAGGTTCAAAGATCGAGTCTTCGAGGCCTGGAACTTGAAATGGGAATCACCGTCTCTGGGTTGCATATCTCTGTGACTGGAGAAGAGAATGCGAGGTTCTTGGAGTAGAGAATGCGGCGGCTGTGTTTGGAGACTTCCGCGATTGGGCAACTTGTTGGCCATGCCCTCAATTTTTATAGCTTGGTAGCAGTCAGGTTTTCTTGCAAGCTTTCCAGCTTTCTTCATCTTTGCAGTGGTAAGGTCTATGAGACGCTTTCATCCTATGGAAATCGTCATTTGGAAGGAGAGCTTGATGGTTTGCGATCAGTGAGCCGGGATTTGCACTTTGCGGGCATGCCATTTCAAGAGGTGGAAGGATTGCCATCTGCTCGCCTACACTCACCAAATGATGTGTTTTGCGAAGCCGACACCTGAGAGTGCAAGCAGACAATCAATGCTAGCGAAGACTGCCGACCCCAGAATGAGAGGTTTGCCTTACTCAGCTACATGTGGCGATGCTGTAGACGTATGCCAAGAGACATTCGGATTGGTTGAAGCCCTAGGTATCTTTTGGCTACAATGTCACCATGAAGACTCGCGTGCATCTGGCATGTCTTGTCAAGTTATAGATCAATCTGCAGAAGTATCCTGGGGCTAGGAAAGGCGACATAGCAAGCTTACTTTGAAGGCAATGACTCGAAAACGCAGAGCCCTCCAGGTGCATCACAGAGCTGGACATTCGTGTACCTTTAAGGAGTTGCAACAGTTGCAAACCACGGGAAGACTGATGCATCATTTGCCGCGATCAGGAGGCCCTGCAGCTGAACTTTGACCCTTTCGATGCAGAGCGCCGTCTCACACTTTGCATCAAGAGCCAGGCCCGAATCATCCCGAATCCTTCCATATCCTTCCATATCCTTTCAAATCCTTCCATAATATCCTTCCGTGGCTTTCTAGCCTGACAGGAGGTGATCGGCGACATCGAACTGGCAAAGTTGCAGATGGGGGCCGAACAGGCTGGTCGTTTGCTGTAGCTAGGCCAAGCGCACCGAACCTGTCGCGAGGTGCGTGAAATGGAAGAACCTGATGACAACTACGACAGGCTGGGCTCGGCCTGTGTCCTTGCTCTGTTCCAAGCAACCCTGGCAAATTATGCATTCGCAGCATGCACAGTGTTGTCAGCCAGGGTCTAGATTTTCTGCATGACATTTTGACCTGCGCAACAGGTCTCTTGTGCGCGGAAGCATGCCAGAGTCGGTGCCGTTCTCGGTGCTTTATCATGTAAGCCTGCAACAATCTGGCATGAGGCATGGTCCAGCGGCAGGTTCCGATGCATTGATCTTGTCCGAGTCTTGTTCTTTTTGTCACATGGCAGTAGCGAATTGCAGCACACGGGAGCATGCACGGCCGTGTGCAAAGGTTCCTGCTGGCAAGGTGTACCTTCGCTTCATCCCTGTTTCAGAGGCACGTTTGCGTTTGTGTGCTGCACATCTGCTCAGTGTGATCCAGGACTCAAAGGGCTGCTGGGAGAGTTTGTTGAGGTAGGGCTTTATTGGATTCGATGAGTAGTATACGCATAGCTGACTCCAGGACCTGACGACAGGGGCCCAGGCGCTTTGATTTTTCGGCTGCTTTGCCACTCCTTGCCCACGGATAATGCTGCCTCCTTGCGTGGCACCGATGCTCCTCATTTTAGATTCCTCAAGGCAGCGTGAGGCATTTGCACGGCTTTGCAGGCCGGAAAGCTGGGAGTGAAGTTGTAAGGGCATGTTTCACGCAGGGTCCCTCGGCCAGCAGGCCAAGTGGGCCGCTTGGCCAATGGGCCAAAGGGCCAATGGACCAATGGGCCAATCATGAGAGCATGTAGCGGCATGGTGAAATCTCTTCGCTGCTTCTAGGCAGAAAACTGTGCAAAGACTCAGATTCGATGCCTTGAGACAAAAATATTTAGCACATGATGGAATGCAGGCTGAATGCAGTCTGCAGTGAGCTGTCACCCGTGGAAAGTCTTTTGACAATCGCCGATCCCCACCCATTCCATCTTTTTCCATCTATTAGTAGTCTACTAGTCTTTGTTTGGCCTTTGCGAAAGTTACTTGGCACAGCAGGTGCTAGGCGCTTGCCTTCACTGTGCCCTGTCTCTGCAAGAGTTCAATCCCGCGCATGCATTTCAGCAGACCTTGAAGCTCCTGGGAAGGGCTTCACTAGGTTTGCCCCAAAACCTCCAGAGCGTGCGGCCGGCGAGACTTACTTTACAGACGGAAGCATACGTACAACCTACTATGGACAAGTCCAACTTCACAATTTCGCGCTACCTCATCTTACCCATATACCCAAACAAACAATGTACCTCATTAAATTTGATAAAACCCATCACTTTTTGAGGGCAACATGAGATGTCTCCACTTTTCTTCACGATATCGGCCAGATCTACATCATGCCTCAACTTCCGCACGCCAGGAATGCAGCCTCAAGACCTCAGGCAGCGCTGATGTTGCAGGCAGCGCTGAGTGCTGATGCCCAGCTACATCGTACTGAGTGGAGAGTTGCTTGAGAGTCTTTCGATGTGTTTTGCGTGGTGTATTGGAAGTCATTGCAAGTCAGAAGCTGAGGTGTTTTGGCTTTGGTGCTTGCGCATGTATTGCGCTTGGATACTCGGATAGGATGGCAACAACCAGCGAAATGCCTAAGCTAAGGCAGCGAAAACAGCAACGCACCACCCGCGCGCCGTGGCTGGATACACGACCAAACCTTAGTGCTTGCATACAAAATGAAGATGTCACCATGCTAATTCTAAGGTCCTACTCACCCCAAATGGACATTGCCTAACAGTGAAGGGTACCCCAAATCCCTGCTTATACATAGCGAGTCGGCGGGTATGTTCATTTGGGACATGCAAGTAGGACATTAGACAGATCGGAGTGCACCGAGCACACAGAGGCAAGATCCCGTATGCATTAAGCGAAACTGCGTGAACCCATTGGTGTCAAGACCTCAGCACAGTAATGCAATCTGAAGCTCACGCGTGCCAGCGCGAACCTTGAGACATTTCAGGCCCGGACTGGAAGAATTTGGCAGCAATGTATTATCCTTAGTTTTTTCCTAGCAAGCTTCAGATGTGCCAGCTGATCCGCCCTGGAAGGTGTTGATGGAGTATGAGCAGAGCGCGTGGACATGCGAAGACCTTAGCCCTCAGCCAAATGCACTTTGATGGCTTTCGTTTCGCTTGTGGAAGGCCAGACGAGCCAGGCCTTGGAATGCTGGATTTATGTTAGTTGAATTCCTTGGAAGCGCCCCTCCATTCAATTTTCAGATGTGGGAAGCTGTCATAGGATTTGACGATGCGAAGCAATCGAAGCCAAGTCCCAAACTTAGACAGCAACGGGCTCATTCAGCAGGCAGGTCAGCAGTCTGACATGTTTTTTCAGGCCGAATCGAAGCATTCTCGAATCAGACCCAAAGTGCCTTGACAGCCTGCAAACATCGTAAGGTAGGTTTCTGTGAAAAAGCTATCTCTTATTCCTTCTCCGTCCCAGAGGCCTGGTATATAGTTAGTGTCAATGAGACTTGGTCTAAGACTAGATGCATCAGATGAGATGGTCAGGGCGCGGACCAAGAGAGCATCATCCAAAGGCAGATGCAACGGGCGAGGAACCAAGGACGGCTGAGCAACTGGCAGCAAACATAATCAGTGCGCCACATTCACATAGCTGTGAGGCTGTGACTAGCTATGTTGCCCATTTGCGAGGGCTTGGCCCCACACCCAGACACGTTCGGAAGGGCCTATCGATGTGGCTTCACAATGTAGGCCGCGATTTCTGGGACTATCAGAAGCCCTGGGAATCAGATGATTGTGTTCAGGAGCAACACTTGTGCACTTGTGCATGAAGTGAGCAAGCCGTCGTCAGACTTGCGCCGGACTTGAATCATGAGCTCTTGCAGGCTGTGTGGAGGATGGCTTGCTACACACATTTCCCACGATGCAACGAGAAGAGCCAGGTTCGAAGGGTGTATGACTTGTATGACACTTGCACGGCGCAGCATCACTACGCTCTTTGTCTTTTCAATGGTACAGCAGGCTGCCTACCTCCGGCCATGTGCTGGACCCTTAATGAGACAGCGAATCCTTCACAGGTGGACTGACATGCGTTTCCTGTTTTTCCCGGCCCGATGGCGAATTCCGGAGCGCCTTTTTTTGCCAAGACAGGAGCTGCTAGTGAAAAGAGCGGCAACCCCAACGAGGGTTGTGAGCCCAAACCTGTCCTGAGCATCTCGGTGGAATGGCCGGGATGCGGAGAAGAAGGTCCAGAAGCATGGACTCTGGCTTCGGGCTGGACCAGGGCATTATGGTGGCAGAGCGAGACGGTGATGTCCATGAGCAAGAAGAACAGCCAGGTCATGCAGAAGGACGACAAGAAGAAATTCGAACGGGAGTGGCAGTAAACCCGTTCTGGAGCCAGAAAGCACAGGATGAAGCGGTGCTGAGGGCGAGCCGACCAAGCGGGCTGCCACCGGTGGGGACGGATGAAAAACCAAGAGAAGAAGGAGCTCTTCGCGAAGAACCCGGCGGCGGCGGTGGACGACTTGAAGGGCGAGATCAGCAGATCGGTATGCACCGCGAGGCGACGTCGAACACGGTGATGGAGCTCTACTACATGGGAATGTGGAAGGGTTTCAACTAGGAGGAGACCTACGACCCGGTGAAGGGAATGGGCCACAAGGAGAAAGATTGAGAAGGGCTAGCACCATGCGAGGCCGACCTGCAGAAAGAAAAGGCTATGAAGGCCAACGAGGAGAAGCAGAACTTCGTGGTCCTGGAGGGGCGGAAGGCGGAGTTGGGGTGGGAGATCAACGAGCTCTTCGGCCAGGTGGGAGAGAAGAGGAGACTATGGAGGATCCAGAGCTTCGGGATCAGCGGCTATGGGAAGCGGCCTGTAGGAGGACCGAGAACACATCTCAGGCACCACGAGACCTTGCTCCGCTGAAACTGGACTGGATCTGGAATGATGAACATAAGGTGTGGGTTCCGGAGCGAGCCCGACGAGCAGGAGATGACGAGCTCATCGGTGACATGGGCCTGGTGGAAGAGATGGAGAAGAATTACATGAAGGCGTGCCGTACAGTGCGCGGGATGGAGAAGCAGAGGGAGTACCTCTTTGGAAGCATCAAAGGTTTGAGGAGCGAGGTGAGGAAGTGGCAGGTAGAGGCAGCATTCTGGAAGGAGCAGCATGATCAGAAGGAGGCAGAGAGGTTCGTAACGCCCGCGGAAAAGATGGAGTTGTTTGCGACGCCGATGGAGCCTTCCTATGTGCTTGCGACGCCGCCGCCGCCGCCACCACCACCTCCGAGGCTATGGAGGACGCCAGTGCCCAGATCTAGGTCGCCGCCGAGATCACCTCCGAGATCACCACCAAGGTGTTAGAGAGGCGGATCGCGGTGGCAGGCAGAATGGTCGGAAGAGGACCGATGGTGGCAGACAGAATGGAATCCCAGGAGCTGGACAGCATGGAAGAGCTGGAAGGGCTGGGAAAGTGAGGAGCAGAAGCCCCGCAGTTGAACAAGTTGAGTCAGGAGGCGCTGGTGGGAAGGTAGAACTGCCGGAGCTGGTGTACGACCACTCGCCGGTGCGTCTGGGTGATTGGATAGCTCAGGTTGGACCCCAGATATCGTCAGGACGGAGCAGAGAGGTGTGACGCTGCTCTTGAAGGCGGTGCCGGAGGAGATTCGGAAGGAGCTCATCTCAGCGCGTGATTGTCTCCTGGTCACTTACCAACCTGGAGGCCTTAAGGGAGTGGCGGAGGTATTATCTGAGGGCTCAGGAGATCGGGCCTGCCAGTTGTGGCGCTGGAACGGGTAGTTCAACTGGTGAACAAGGGAGGCACGCAGGCCTTCAGGGTGGAGGTGAGCGAGTAGGTCAAGGAGGACACCATGAAGGAACAGCGTCGGCCAAGAAGGAGGTCACCAATTGCAGGTACTTCATCTCGGAGAACGGTTGCAGAGCCGGGCGGAGCTGCAAGCGGCCTCACGATTGGGAAGGGGTTGCAGACAAAGCAGCGCGGTGCTGGACCTGTGGAGCAAAAACCCACAGGCAGGCGGACTGCACGGTCAAAGCTGGGAATCCATATGCAGGAGGGAGACCAACACCAAAGCCGGAGGTCAAAGCAGCGAAGCAAGCTGGGCGGCAGCTCGGGGGGAGGAACAGGTGCGGAAAAATCGATTTTGCCAGGAGTCAAAACGATTTTGCCAGGAGTCGGAGAGACCAGCAACATGGCGGAAAAAGAGACTACATCATGGGCGGCGAGTACTACAGGAGGTGGAACTACGGCAGGTGGTGCAGGTAGCGGAACGGGGGAGCTGTTGGCTGAGGCGACGAGTCTTCTCCGTTCGCTGCGAATGCCGTCTATGAATGCGGTGATAGTGATGAAGCAGGTGGATGGGTCTTCTGGATGGAGGAGCAACGCGCGCACTGAGGCCTGGAAAGAACCAAGAAGAATGGAGCCAGGCCGAGATCGGCGATGTGCACCTGGCAGATGGCTCGAGTACGAAAATGCGGAGCAAGCCAGGAACGTTGACGCTGCTGGCGGAAAAGGGCACGCAGGTCATGGTGCCGATGGGTGCAATGACGGAGGTTGGATACATGGTGACGTGGTCCAATGGTGTGTGTGCGGTGACCTACAAAGGGAACCCGGTGAAGGTCACGATGGTTGCAGGCTGCCCAATGGTGGAAGAAGAGGTGGCCTTGGGGATGATTGAGCAGATGGAACAGAAGAAAGCGGAGTTCAATTGGAAGCTGGCAATGCTGAAGGGCCAGGTAGATTCCACAAAGGACCCGACTTATGAGGAAGCCATGCTGAAGGCGCTGAAGGAGTTCTTCGTGGATGTCCCGGACAGTTTGTTGGCAAGATTGGTGGTCACGCAGGAGTACGACGTCATGAAGCTGCCGTGGAACAGGCGGAGGAGGAGAACTATTGAGAGAGCAGGAAGAATCCACCTGCGTCTCAAAAGAAGGACATGGAGAAGAGCAAAACGATCATGATCTGCCTGGACAAGGTGAACAAGACTTGCTCAACGACGATGTCTACGGCTACCTCATTGCCTTGGCGAAGAGTGGAGCTGTGGTCAGTGTGATAGGGGGTCCGCCCTGTCTGCCTGCAGATCGACATCGCCGGGACCAAGACCGGTGCGGAGTGATAGAGAGATAGAAAGAAAGGTAGATAGAGAGATACAGAGATGGATAACTACACGAGAGATAGAGAGATAGCCAGATAGATAGGTAGATAGATAGATAGATGGAGAGATAGAGAGATAGACAGATAGAGAGAGAGAGATAGATAGATAGGTAGATAGAGGAATACATAGAGAGATAGAGAGATAGATAGATAGATAGATAGATGGAGAGGTAGAGAGATAGAGAGACAGACAGACAGACAGACAGACAGACAGACAGACAGACAGACAGACAGACAGACAGACAGACAGACAGACAGATAGATAGATAGATAGATAGATAGATAGATGCGCGGGAGATAGATGGGGAGATAGATAGAAAGAAAGAGATAGAGAGAGATAGATAGATAGAAAGAAAGAGAGATAGAGAGATAGATAAGAAAGAAAGATAGATAGATAACTAGATAGAGAGGTAGATAGCTAGATAGATAGACAGATAGAGAGAGAGATAGAGGGATAGATAGGTAGAAAGAAAAAGAGACAGAGAGATAGGTAGATATATAGATAGAGAGATAGAGAGATAGATAGATAGATAGAGAAGATAGATAGAGATGTAGATAGATAGATAAGCAGATAGCTAGCTAGCACGAGAGATAGACAGATAGGTAGTTAGGTAGATAGATAGGTAGAGAAAGATAGGTAGATAGATAGACAGACAGATAGAAAGAAGGAAAGAAGGGAGGAAGGAAGGAAAGAAAGGAAGAAAGGAAGAATGACGGAGAAAAGAGAAACAATGAAAAGGAAGAAGAAGAGAAAAAGAGACAAGAAAAGAAAGGGAAAGAGAACTATAATTTTTATATTTTTGAAACTTCCGCCCACCGGTTTCGCCGGCTCTACTGGTACAAGTCTGGTACGCGAAGTGCAGGTTTCTAGCTCTAGCTGAAAATCGCGACTTTGTAGTACAAGTCTAGCGCGCAAAGTACAGGGTTCTAGCTCTAGCTGGAAAATCGCGACTTTGTAGTACAAGTCTAGTGCGCGAAGTACAGGCTTCCAGCTCCAGCTGTAAATTGCGACTCTGTAGCACAAGTCTAGTACGCAAAGTACAGGTTTCCAGCTCTAGCTGGAGAATCGCAACTCTGTAGTACCAGCTCTAGCTGGAGAATCGCAGCTTTGAAGTACAAGTCTAGTGCGCGAAGTGTGCAGGTTTCCAGCACTAGCTGGAAAGTCACATTTGTAGTGCAAGTATAGTACGTGAAGTACAAGTTTCCAGCTCTGGCTGGAAGATCGCAACTTTGAAGTGCAAGTATAGTACGCGAAGTACAGGTTTTGAGCTACAGCTTGAAAATCGTAATTTTGTAGTACAAGTCTAGTACGCAAAGTACAGGTTTTCAGCGCTAGCTGGACAATCGCAGCTGTGTAGCGCAAGTCTAGTGCGCGAAGTACCAGCTCCGGCTGGAAAATCGCAACTTTGTAGTACAAGTCTAGCACGCGAAGCGCAGGTGTCCAGCTCCAGATTGAAAATCGTAGCTTTGTAGCAACAAGTGGGGCTCGCAAAGTAGAGTTTTACAAGCTGAAAATCATAGTTTGCGCAGTAGGCTTGATTGCGAGCCCCATTGGCTTATACCGAAGAAAGTTCTCTCTAATTATTTTCTTGGGTTTGCGCAAAGTGATGCGCATTCGGGTTCGTGGGCTCTGTCTTGTTTTTCTTCCAGCAATTTCTCCCAGCAATCCATCAAATTGACTTGTGCCAAGGCCAGCGCTTGCAAAGGCCGGCTATTTATGCCATGGAACAACACATGCGCATTGAGGTTTCATAGCAGATAATGGTTTACTGGTTTGCCGAGCCGAGCCTCAGCCCTCATCATGATGTGCCTGTACAGGTTACCTGCAAGCTTGCCAAGTCAATTGCTGTGATGATGGAAGCGCTCTTAGTCCTGTTTTCGCAGCATAGAGCATGGGTAGTCCAGAACTTGGGCTTTAAGGTGCAAAGTGTTCCTTCACCCATCACAAGAAGATGCCCGATGGAAACGTGCTAATTGAAGAGGCACGGGTGTTGTGCTGGGGCCAAATGAGGTTTTGGCCGAGTTATCAACAGAGTTGCACAGAGAGAGTGGGATAGGAATACTGACGGGTTGTTCATGGAGCGTTGCCCAGTGCAGCGGCTTTGGATCGTTTGCTCCCCGCAGGGATACGATCCACATAATGGGCCATCTGCACACTGCACAGGCCTTGCTGCAGTTGTAGCAGGAGAGTCACACAGAAAGGCTCGACATGCTTGTGCAGGCTGAGGTGCTGCAGTTCATTCACCCAGTGGTACAAAAAAGCTGCGCAGCTTACACTTCAGCTTTCTGCGATTCAAGCTCCACCAGTGCATCTTCTTTGCGAGATATAGCTCAACATCGCTGTAACATGCTTTCATCCATGTGATTTAGCCTTTTCACCGCATATCAACAGCTCTTTGGGCAGTGACATCCATCCAGACAACTTGATTTGGTAGCTGGTCTTCTGGATGCGGTAGTCAAAGGCAGGCAACGAATGCCAATCGGTGCCAAATTCAGCCTGATGTGTGACGGGGGGCAGAACCATGGCGGAAGCCTTACGATGTGTCTGCCGACACTGTACTTGTCGTCAACTGGCTTCAGCAGACTAGAATTCAGAACACTCGAGGCCGGTGCAATGATACAGGAAGCTTTTGGCAAGGAGAGGGCGTTCATTGTTGATCTCGATTATCGGCTTTACTTTTTCACTCCTCTGGAGTCCAGCCACTCATACTCTCCTTGCATTGGCTGCTCCATTCTTTGTCTTCTTGACTAGTTTGACTGGCTAGACTTTTGATCATGTTTGCGTGACTTGCTCGCCCTTCGTTGCCCAACTTGGTTGGTTTTGCATAGATTGGAGTCTTTCGCGCAGGACGTGGAGCTTTACGAGCTGTTGCGACCCATTTCAGAAGCCAACTGTGGCGAGCTTGAAGTCTGAGGCTCGGAGTTGGACGAGCAGCCACATCAGCTGACATCAAGAAGGGGCCCTGCGCCAGGCACTGAAGAAGGCTTTGCAGCAAAGTTTCTCCAAGGTACTACAAAGCAGCGCTGCGGTGGCATCCCGACAAGAATCAGGGCCCCGCCTCCTAGTTTGAATTGCTTTGCCCACAGAGCCACGTGACTTTCCTGAGGCAAATCTGATGCTACGCTGAAGTTTCAAGCTCTTGGTGAAGTGTGCGGGCATCCAGCATTTTCCTGCCGGCATGAAATTCCTCGATTCATTGCACCAATCTGGCAGTGATTTGGTTTTTGGCGGTATGTAACAGGGCCGCCGCGCGCGGTGCACATTCGCTAATATTGCTTGGTGGAACAGGCAGCATGAGGGGCCGGAAGAGACCGCAAGAGACATACGTCGTTACGTAGTCGCTACATACCTCCCCTTTTTGACATCACCTGGTTTGCTCCGAATAGTTGCGATGCAGCGCAGTTGTACTGAACAGCTGCGACTTTCGAGCTTCTGGTCCAGGTGCGCGAGCTTCTCCCCCCCCCGCCCAGCCCAGAATCTCGCAGGCCCCGCACCCCAGCCCCCCCTCCCCCCCCAATATCCCTGCGCATCCCCGGCATCCCCGGACCATCCCTCAAACAACCCTCAACCAACCCTGACCCTAGACCCAGCCTGAGCCAGCACAAAACCCAGTTATATGCAGATACAGCAGGATTGGAACTGGCTGTGAACTGGTCTCTTTTCCCTGGCCTAAAACTTCCCGTGAAGGAAGGACGCCGGCAGGACAAATGCTTGGAAAAGAGGACGGTATTTGTTTTGATACGCGCGCCTTACTTGAGTCATTCATCTACTTAAGACTTTTCTTATTCATGCAGTCCAAGTATCCATAGCTTTTTGTATGTGCTTGTTACTGTACTTGTCGTCTCTCTAGCATCGGACTGCGACACACTCCACAATTTGTGCACATGATGCCAGCAGGCTTTTTGTAGCCATTGAGTCACTTTCACAGCGTGCGCCACTGTAACAGATGCTTAACGCATGCGAGGCACCGCATCCTGAGCGATCCAGACCTTCGAGCTCAATATGCCTGAGCCTCAGCCTCAAACTCAGAGACTCATTCCATGTCTCAGCCACATCTTTGTCCCATACTACTTGCTTTCTATCTGGCTCTGTACATCGGTGGTTTACTCTGGAGAGCATCGGGTGAGCGAGGAACGCATCGCTTCGGTTCGCTTGCAGAATGAGGGAGGACATTTGTCTAGACAAATGCATCAAATACATTTTAGTTGCTTCTGAAGAGGTTGATAATGTTTGTGTAGAGTTCCCCGGACTTCATCCTTGAATTTACATTCTCACCCACATACTATGTATTTCAGGCATGCAACACGAGCCAAACGAGCCAACAACGTTGGTCCTGTAGTTACTGTAGGTGCCATGGTACGACCTTCTTTCCGGGTTGCTAGGGATGGTCGTTGATGACTGGAACAGGCGTCTGGTGGAGCTGCAGATTCTTGAGAATCAATTGCTCAGGGACATCAAGAACACATGTCACATATCTGTCGGTGCCATATGCTTCTGGTATTTGTGCATCCCTGAAAACCACCTCCAGGGTTGGGGAGTGTGGCTGAGGTAAGAGTACTAACAGAACTGTTGTGCTTTTGTGATGTTTCCGCGCACTGGGTTAACATCGGAAGGAGGCCATAAGGTACCCCTTTGCATCTGTCTGGGGCATGCATGTCGTATTTGAGTGGATGGTTCAGCTTCTCGTGCCCGGGACCATGTTGGAGCCATGCCGTAGCCTACCCTGAACTTTGCCAATCGGTGAAGTCACTCATCGAAAAGAGGGCAGTCCAAGGACTCTACGGGGTGCTTTCCAAAGTCGCAGCTGGGCGCCTGGAGGATCTTTAGAAACCCACAGCTTTGACGCTTGAAAGCTGCAAGCTTGGGTAGATACGCGTGTTCTACAACCTGATTTCTGATGTTTCTGCTTCAGGTGCAAGATGGATTGGCCTGCAGCTCAGTACCCAGCTTTGCTTGAGCCTCGCTTCATTTGCGGGCTTCTTTTGGAGGCGGACTGTCATATTTGCGGGCTGTCTTTTGAGGCGCCCATATTTTGCCAAGCTTTTCAAGCCAGCCCCGCGCACTGTCTGTGCAAGCATGACTCCCATTCTCGGCACTCGGTCATGAGGTGACAAAACAAAGACTTGATGACTTTACTCGCCAATATGACGGTGCCCCAGTTGATTCACCAGAACGGAACGCGAAATGGTGTATGTCTATGTGTGTTGTGTCCCCTACCTCCCAGAAGAGAGGGAGCACAAGGTCGGCTCGGACGAAGAGCGCCAGGACGTGCTTGGCCTGCGCCCCAGGATGTGCTTGTTGAGAAACGCGCAGCTTTTTGACAGATTAGGTGTGGACCAATGTGGATTAGGGGCAACCACAGACATTTTGCTTACAATGCAACATGTAGAATCAACGAATGAACCCTTGCAAGGTGCTTATGTTGATGGGAATGGTGACTTGGGCTACATCATAGACAATGTGATGCCGGTGCCTGAGATGCCAACAGAAGTTACGCATGCAAGCTTCTTTTCTGATGGATCATGAGCCACGGCATGCCTCTTGTCACTCGTCATAAGAGGACCCCGCAACAGCACCTTCAGCAGCATGTGGCAACGGCGCCTGGCAACAACACCCTCTGCTTGGACTTAGGAGCCTATGGCTTTCAGCTATCTCGGGAATAAAACCATTTGCATCTCAGTGTCTTCGGGGTGGGTCGCAGGGATCGGGTTGGAAGCCCGTTATGGGGTCCGCGAAGACACCAGTAGGCTAAAGTGTGCTTTGTAGGCTCCTCATCTTCACGACGCCAGACTCCGGGCAGGAAACAGTTTGAAACAGTGAAGGCCCTGCTTTTGCTTAGGATGTCCTGCTTCTTAATGCTTCTCGGCGTGTTTTGCTGAGCAACCTTGTTGCTTTGCTGTTGCTTTAGCACAGTTCCATGGGCTATCTGGCTCAAGCCCGATGCAAACTTGTATGCGCACGCTCTCCGTCCATTCGGAGAAAGCCGAGCACCCTGCTGATTTGTGGTCATTGCGTGCACACTCATTTTTGGGTTATAAACGAAACACTGCCTTGTGTATTGGTCTCACATTGCGCAACTGGACCGTTCTTGTCTCCCTTGAAGAATGCGCAGTGGGTTCTTCGGGGCCCCCGTTTCTGACCCTCGCAGCCGACGAAAGGGTGCGCAAAAAGCGTCCTGCCTTGATCTTGGCCCGCGAAGAGAAGGTTGTGAAGAAAAGCAACGGGGATGACTGCCTGTGAACTGCTGAAATCTGCTGGACAATCAGCTCAGAACCGTCGTATCGAAACATCATGCCTACGTGTTTGCCAGCACTAGAATCTCAAATCTGAAAAATTAAATTTCCCACCGCTGCCTGGGCCTTGTGACTGATCGAATCGTTTAGAATCAGAACCACACCTGCCGGACTTTGCTGAAGAAAGCCATTGAGAGATTCTCAGATCGATAGCCAACATGCGGAGCAAAACATCGCTTCCCACACAGAATCCAGACTGGACGCAGACGTTCCAGGCTGGCGACAGAGGAGGATGCCGCCAGGTTTGAAGAGCTGGCCTGGCACTTATCACACAAGGGTATTGACAGGGCCGGTAGGATGGATCCAGGTATCCTTGTGATTTTGTGTTGGGAAACAAGGTGAGAAGCGGCATCAGCGCCGGAGAGGCAGGGCTGTTCTGTTGTGCGCTGTCGGACACGTTGCCCTTCCGTTCTGCGCCTCTTTTTTTAAATACGTGTGCCGCTGCGTGTTTCTATGCGGCCGCTTTGAAAGCAAAGTCTGCATGCAGTGCTTCAGGTGCAACTCCTGCCGGGGTTGGCACTTTCAGCCTAGTCCTTAGTCCTTGATGCATGTGCCAGAAAAAGGATTCTTGAGTTCAAAGCGAAGCAACCTCAGGCCTGCGGGTCTGCGCAGGCAAAGAAGAGGCAGGACAGCATTGGTGCTTCTGTTCTGATAACAGCAGCTGAAGGCAGCGCAAAGCAAGCAGAGAAGCGAAGCAAGCCAGCAAGATCCAGAAGGCCTGGCGCATGCTGACATAATGGCTGTGCATTGAAACTTGTTCTCCAAGGGAATGCGCAAGACCAGGGATGCAGGCGCTAGTGTGCTTCATTACGCATTCAACTGGCAGATACTGCAGCGATTTAATTTTGCGAATCGCAGGAGATTTGGCTGCAGCGATACAAGGAAGGATGCAGGTTCAGCATGCTGAGCTGTGACAATGAGGCCGTGTACGTGTCAGTCGCGAGGCGAGAAGCGGGGACTTTCTCGCACAGCTGGAAGAGAGGCAGCGCAGCCACAGGCTAGATGCAATAATGCGTACGCCCACCAGAGGTACAGTGGGAGCTCAAAACCGAAGCGGATGAAGCGCCCTGCAGCCTCCTGACAGAGTAGAAAAGAGTAGAAAAGAGCGATCCCTTTGATGGAGGTTTGATTTGCCACGGTAGCCAAGCAGGCTTTTGAAGAGTGTGAGTCATTTGGGCTGTAACGTGGCCCTGGCTCTCGCCAGTTTGCACGTAATTAAATAATTAAACATGTAGAGAAAAGGTACAAGATGCAAGAACACTGCTTATTTTCAGCCAGCATTACATTTGGTGCAATCACACAGAAGTTCGGCACACACACGGCCAAAGGCAATGGCACCCTAAGAAGGCCGCCCCAGGATTCCCTTGGAATTCTTTGCACTTCACAATGGCTGGGCGTACCTTGCTGGAGGAGCTAGAGCAGGTGCAGAGCTATGATCATTGTGTTTGAACTCTCTTTGCATTGTCCCCCTGCACGGCATTTTTCGCTGTTTGATGTGATGCATGTGTCCGCATGTATGATATCAGGATGAGGAACTTTCGCTTGCAGCGGCCATCGTGCAAAATGCCAGGTTGGATGCAAGTTGCTTTGCACCAGTTGTCGGCGCTCCGTTGCAGCGTGGATGGGTTCTTGCCCATTGAACTAGAGGCCTGGCACAAGATGTTATGAGCTTCGCAATCGCCTCACCGGCTGAGCACTGAGGGAACCTGATAGACATCTTATAGACATCTTATAGCCTGCTAGACTAGACGTGGCTAAACTCCTAGACTCCTAGACCTTGATTTGTAGGCCGCCACGGGCGTGAAGTGACTCTGCTCGTGCCCGTCAACCGCGCCATCACCAAAGCAGCGGAGGCATGGCGCCCGCCTGGGGTGCTTGGGCGCTTGACTTTGGGCCTTCACTTAGCTTCCGCCTGTACCAAGCACACCTGAATGACATCAGTGCTTGTTCCTTGAAGTTGATGCCTGGCTGAGCCAGCTTCACGTTGCTGACTGCGCAAGCACTGTCCAACAGCCAAAGATGCCTTTCAAACGCGACGCTATCGTTGCTTTTACTCCTTATCGTTCTACCTGGAATGCCATTGGGACCCGCCCCATTGAAGCGCATGAAGCGCAAGAGCGCGGGGCTGTGGTACAGCCCCACATGACTTTGCCAGTGCCCATGCGAATGCCTACGCGGGATTGTATAAAAAGCCCGACACCAGCTCGAACAGCGCACAAAGAATAGATTGCAAATATTGCAGGAAGACACGGACAACAAAGCCAGGATCCTTAACGCAGATCATAATTTTCCATGTGTGATTCGCAGGCCATGAACAATGAAGTACAAGTGAGCACAATGCGATGGGTACTTTTGAGCTGGAGCTGTCAAAGCATGTGTCATATACTATACTTGTAGCGAACATTTGTGACGCTCGAGTTTCAGCTGCCACGATTGCAAAGCCGGATTTGCAAAGAACTGCAAATCACGCATATAACGGTTGAAAGGACACATATAGATGGATTAGTATGCAGCCCCTTTTTGCGCTCATCCTTTCCACGCATGCTTACGGAGGCTTTTGCATAGGTGTGCGAGCAGTGTATGCGCCCACCACCACTGGCCCGTTAAAGTGTGGCGTTTCATGGGATGCCAGGCTAGAAGGACAACGATAGAGCTATTTTGCAAGACACCAGAGGCAGATTCTCGGAAGATGTGTGCGTGTGCTAGTCAACACGTTTTTTCTTCTTTTTGCCCTCGTTTGAGGTAGCAGATCTGATTGCTGGCCATGCAGTCAGAATCCTAGCTAGATTGGACACAGCATGCTGGTTTTGCATGCCCATGAAATGCAGGTTTTGGACAGATGGCCGCTTGCTGCCCTGCGAATGCTGGGAACGTCGCTGGACGGCTGCTGAAAGAACTTGTCTCTACATTTGCTCCGAGTGTATGAAGACCACCGATTGGTTGTTCAGATTGCCCGAAGCTTCCAGGACAGCCTGCGTGGCTCCACTATGCAGCTATTGTTCATGCTCGGTTCCCGGCAGCATTTTGGCTAGCTGCGTGTGCCACACCAACTCCAGATGAGGGCTGCTTCACGATGTGATGCTGCTGTTGACGCTGAAGGCCGAGTGGCGACGGGAGGGTGAGTGTGCGAGTCGCTGAATCTGGAGAGCCTGAGGCTCAGTCGCGACACACATTGCATGATAGGCGGTCAGGTGGTCAGGCAGTCAGGTCAGACGGTCAGGTCAGACGGTCAGTATGATCACTGAATCAGCACAGCCATTGGGCCCATGGTTCGAGGCGTCCGACGCGTCTAAGTGCTGGCGATATTTCTTGCCGCAACGGACTCCTTCACAAGATTGGGACTTTCTGGCTTGTTGAGCAATAGCCGTAGGCCATGACACTAACGAACAGTTTCCCAGCTGTGCAGAGTAATGTTAACAAGCACCACGCCGAGGGGCTTAGTTTGCGCGCCAGGCGATTGCTGACACCTTCTCGACAGGCTTGGCGGAGTGCCGCAAGTGCGTCTCTCAGCACAAAGCCTTAAAGCGCATCGAGAGCGAACCTATTGGCCGCGATTGAATTCGGATTAGGACCGAATCACCACGCTCACTGAGGCCAGCAGGAGGCCTTGGAGAGATCCGTAGCAGCAAAGCATGAGATGATGAAGGCCAAGTGCTTGCTCTCATCGGTCCTCCCTTAGACCTGTCAGCAAGGATCGCATGGAACTGAATAGTACTCGTCTCAGCGATGCTGGTTGAGCCAACATCAAAATGAGCTTGGCGTGCTTCCAGGAAAGACACGGCCTGGCCCTCCACTTCCAGGTCCGATTTCCAAGGTGCCGCCTGTTTGCGCACAACACACATTGCCCGTGTATCTAGAAAGGCCCTGGAAGCTCGACGTACGGCCTGCAACTTAAGTCTTGAGCGAGCCACAGAGAAGCTTGGCAGAAAGCCAGGCAAAGGGCTTGCAGAGTGCACAAGGTTTCTGCACATGATCGTCAACGTGCTCAAGCTTTCGCCCCTCTTTATGGAGATGACTATGATCGGCTCTTACAAGGTGCTTGTGGTTCGGAGAGTATTTTCTCGGCTTGCTGAACGAGCGCCACGCAAGGAACCGAGGCTCTACACAGGCTGCAGCGTTTTGTTTGGAGCGAGTGGTGGATTGCCAGCAAGGCAACAAGCCGCTGCCACCACGACGCGATAGCTCTGCGCACCGCACGGCTCCGAAGGCAGGCAATCAAATACCTGGTGTCACATGCCTGCAGCGTGCGCACTTGTGTGCAGGTCACACAGGACAGGATCCATGCTGAACAAGAGCCGACTCTGGAGCATGTTTGGGAGGACATCAGCTTGCTATTTCCATGTCCCATGCTTGGTGATATGTTCATGATACAGTTGAGCATACGTTTGCTTTAGGAGTGGGAACCTCTGAAGAAGGAAGAAGTGAGACTCAGGTCAGAGTCAGCCCCTGAAATCTGTCCAAATGGCTTTGTAGTTCCACTCAAGAAAGATCTCCTGGTCCAGTCAATGTACTTGCCTTGAGTCAAGCTGGAGGGCGTTTTGTTGCCAGTCAAACATCATGCATACACTGAGGCTCAAAGAATACCAGGATTACCTTCAATCCAAGGAGGCTCATCTCACAGGTGAATGGAATTCCGATCTCGCCGCTGAAGCAATCGCAGTCCGTCATTGCTGAGCACGCCTCACTTGTCCGCGAGGCTTTGCCAACTGTGCGTGCATGGTTCCTTCATCCACTGTTTGCTTGGACCCTTGGAGGTGCTGCCACCATCAGGATTGTCATGGGCAGTTCGCCCAAACAAGGTGCTGGATTTGGCTTTGCTACGTGAGAGCCCTATCAGATATCAGAAATACTGTGCACCTCAGCAAATGCAACCCGAGGCGATGATCATCAGCATGGGACTGAGACATGATCATCAGCATGGTTGTAGGTATATGTCAATGTATAGTGAGGTTTTGTGAGTCTCAGAGGCATATTTCGCCTCCAGGCGGCTACTTTCTAGCCTTTGTCGTCACGACCCGCAGCTTGTCGAATCGGAGGCGCAGTGAGCGTGTTACAAAAGCGTGAGCTGATCACTTGCGGAACACATGCGAGCCTGGATGTCCCAGTGTGTTTGCAGACAGTGAGGCGTCAAGGCGAATAATCCTTGCCTCGATGGCGTACGGGAGAGGTTTGCAAGGGAAACAACAGTAAACCACGAGCAGATTGAGCTGCATTTGCTACAGGCACAAGCAACAAGGTTGCAAACCGCGCGCGTGGAAAAGGGGGGTCCTGTTTCGTCGCCTCTTTCTTCTTCCCCTAGGCGAAATCACAATTTTCCCGGACGCCTTGCGTGCCCCGTGGAAAAGAGCACGTGGAAGGAACATCATGCAATGTTTGGGCAGTGAGCATTTGAACTTCTCTGCTTCGCCAAGCGCACTGCCAAGCTCGTCAAATACATCGCCCAGGCGCGTGAACACCTGCAAACACCTTTTCCCCGGGTCGTCAATGACAAACTCCTTGGCTAGGGTTGCAACTTGCCAAGCGCTTCTGCTGACACCAATCACCGTCCGCGCATTGATCTCGCGTTATGCCCAAGATGCAGCAGCATGAGTCGTGCATACATCTTGGATTCAGTCCTTATCCAAGCCGACTTCATTGATGTTCATTTTCTCTTGGTGCAGAGTCGTATATGCCGTATTGCGAGACAGGTGGTGGTCGCGGGCCGCGTCATTCCTGCCCACAGCCGGCTTTGCCAAGAGGTGCTCATTGACAATTAGACTGTTTCACTATCCATGGATGAACATTTCGCCGTCGATGGCCTGTACGTGAGTGGCAGGTGCTGCCATGGACCTCCAAGCAATGGATACGCGTGGAACTGCCGACGCCTTGTGCGCAGGTTCTTGCCTGGCTCAAATTGTGCATCGTACACCAAATTGCATGAGATGGGTGTGGTCAACCATTCTGCGCAAAGGGGTCGGAACGAACATTTTGACCCCCCTGGCGGGCAATTAGGAACTTAAAGCGAGGCCTGCAAAGTTACACGGGGATCCGAAAGCACAATGGCCGTTAGAAACAGTTTGGGCTTGACTGCTTAATTTGCTTGCTGCACCAGCCGCCGATAGTTTGAGCCCCAATTGGTGTGTTCTGAGAATCAGATAAGCTTTTCACATAATGCCAGTTGCAGTGCCTTGTCGCTGTTAGTTATTCTCGGGTGTTGTGTTTGTTGTGGGTTGCAAAGCTACACAGTATGGGCCGGACAGCTATACTACGCCCTGAGAATCGGCAATGTTCTTTTTATGACACCCTTACCTTTCGTGTCGAGTTTGCCACGGAGCCTCCCATTTTTGTCGGTCACACAACCTCACAATAGGCCCTAGGTGCTCGACATATTCAATTTCTCACATTTATGCAAAGAGCCTTGAAACACGGGCCCGATGCCAGTCAAGCCTTGGCCCTTGGCTACTTTGTCCCATTCTTTGTCAGGAGGTTGTTCAAGAAAATCCTGCATAGGCAGGTTCGCGTAGGCGTGTTTTGCCTTACGCAAGCTTGTTGTTATGCCTTGAGAGTAGCGCCCGAAAAAAAAAAAAAAAGAGAAAAAAACAACAAATCTGCTTGTTGCCGTGTCGGCTCTCGCCGGCGGTACCCTTCCACTTTTTTGCGCACCCGCGGAGGCTCCGCGTAGGCATGGCTGCCAGTGTATAGGGCCTATACACTCACAAAACAACCTGCTCAACTGAATCAGCCGAAAAGAACAACATGTTGGCTCTCAAGACCAACATGTATAATGGTGGGCATGCAAAACCTAGTTCGTGAGAAATCCCCCTCCCTCCTCTCAGAAGACTACGAGCCTCAGATTCTGAGACCAACATGCGCCAAAGCCTTCTGACTTTCCTTGAGCGTCAATGCGCTAGTGGCATTGGCGTTTTTGCTCAGGCCAGACGTTCCTTGCGATGCGTTTCCTTTATGGAGTGCCGCGGCCTTGCGCATTGCCTCGCAACACATCCACTGACTCTGAGTGGTCTGTTCCAAGGTGCCATTTGACAACAGAGGCATTGAGTCAAGGCCAAGTTTTGCGCCGAATAAATTCAACCTGTGAACGCAATGCCAGTGCGCATACCATGTGTGATGCGACTGTTCTTGCCAGACAGGTTGCAGCACTTGGAGGCCTGTCCCGTCAGCCCTGCGGAATATGGAGCTTTGCTGCTTCAGGCGCATTTGATGGCTGAGCAGTTGGGATTGCAATTGGCGTGCCGAGCCTAAAGCAGAAGCACAAGCCTCCCGGTTTGCTCTTCATATTCGCGGTTCAACTGGCTTGCCCCTGATTTGTGAGCGTTTTGGCTCCACAGGCGCAGCTAGCTTTTCACTCCCATTCTTCCCATCAAGGATGTTACTTTTCGGCAAGCCTGACCATGACGAAACTGTCACTGAAGCTGCGCGGGCAGCTGTGGCAGCCACGTCACTGTCTGCTGATTCTGGCGCAAGGCT